GACAGGCCCTATGAGGAGAGACTGAGGGACCTGAACCTATTCAGCCTCGGCAAGAGGAAGCTGAGGTGGGATGTGGTGGCTCTCTACAAACTCATCAGAGGAGATCATCAGCAAATAGGAAGAGCCCTATTCTTCCCAGCACCACCTGGGGTGATGAGGAACAATGGTCATAAGTTGATGGAGAATAGGTTTAGGTTAGAGATCAGAAGGCAATATTTTACAGTTAGGGTGGCCAGAATCTGGAACCAACTTCCTAGGGAAGTGGTTCTCGCCCCTACCTTGGGCAAATTCAACAGGAGGTTGGATGATCACCTGTCTGGGGTCTTGTGACCCCAGCATTCATTCCTGCCTGTGGCAGGGGGTCAGGCTAGATGATCTGATCAGGACCCTCCTGACCCTAGCTACTATGAAACTATGAAACTACAAGTGTGGGGGTGTATGCATTGATGACTGTAGCATACTGGCTGTTACAGAGCATGAGGAAGAGAGTCATAAGGTATTTGTTAATGCCCACAGGGAGTTCTGAAAGCTGACTAACAGTCTTGTTCTTGATGGCAAAGCCAACCCCGTGAATGCACCACTCTTCAAGTGACTTTCCTCTCCTTTCCTTCCACCTCCTTTTTTCTTTCAGCTGGCCTTCACCTGCCTAGTGGGTCTCACTTCAGGCAGCAATATCGATGTCAAGTTCTTTAACTACTACAGCAGTTTCTTTCAGGACACTCACTGTCCAGGGAGTCCATGAGAGTGCGGACATTCCATGTGGCAAATTTCAGTACTTTATTTTGTTGGTTTCTGCTGCAGGTAGAGTGATCCCACTGGATGCAGCAATCCAGCCAGGGGAAGGTTGAGACAGCCTATGTTTAGGGCATCTTTTCTGGCCTCTTCCCAATTCAGGATGAGCAGAGGGGATCCTAAAGAGAACTGCACAGTTATGGCCACAGCTGCCAAACTGTACTTCTGTCACAGTAAGAGCAAAACAACGATCACACAACCATTGCCAACATGAAAATTTGTGACTAGTTACGCCCAGAGATCACTGATCCTGTCCCCACCACCACTCATTCACTGGTGCAGGACTTGGTTTCTGGGAGATGTTAACATCCTTGGGAGAGGCCTGCGCATGACATCTTTCAATGTGGGGAAGTTAGTGCCCAAGTGACAGCCACACAAACTTGACAGGAAGAAGCCCTGAACCAAGTGGCAAGGATGTCCAAGACAATTGGAGACCTCCATCCCACTGCAGCCCTCATCTGCCTTCACAGCTGCAGAGAACCATCAGGCCCTCAAGTACACCTATTCCACCTTTGGCGTCTTCAGGAGTTAGTCTGGAACCTCACCTCAGACCTGTTCATCAGGGGAGATCCTACCAGGAACACAAGACTCAAGACGACATAGCTGTGAGGGTCACTGGAACACAAGCCTCTCCACCATGACAGGATTACAGCCCAAGGAAAGGACAAAGGTACATTGTTCTGTATTGGATAATTCATTCTATACAAAAATGTACGTTAAAGCCCTTAAAACATTTGTTTTCATACATTAAACTGTATCAGTATTTCTTTAATATTGAAATAGAAGAAAAATCTCCAAAATGTGGAAAAGTTTTTCCTTTGTATATAAAAAGCAGAAAATTATGAAAACTCATATACACAGTTACTTACTCAAAGTTTTGATCATTTTGCAGGCTCACTTTTATGGCATGCAACAGGGTCTTAGCAGCCAGTGGTGACTTATTGCTACCTGCTTCAATAATCTGGCGTTCTACCCTGCCTAAAAAAAAGAAGATACAGATACATAGATAAAGCATTTTTTGCATTGTTATTATTTTCTCTGCATGACAACTTGTATTTTCCTACAGGAAAGTAAATTAATGTAAAGCCTTTGCCTTGCTGAGGAGAAAATAATGAGCAGATACTCAGTTCATTGAGGGAATAGTCCAATTCCAATGCACTTTTACAACAAATTGTTTCTTAAGGCCTTCTTAAGACATAAAAATATGTTGGAAATGTAGTCAAGTTATGCAACCAGGATTTTGCCTACCTTTCTGGAAAAAAATTTCAGCTTCCAGATCTAATTCTCTTGTTACAGATGTTGTACAAAGCTCCAATGCTGCTTCTAAATGCCTGAGAGCAGGTAACCATTGTAATGGATCTTCTCTTTTAGATGTGCAAGCTACTTCTTGAACTAACACATGTCCTAGAAAGAAAAATTTTAGGCAGTACAATGTTTTACCAAAAATCAAGAACATTTTTTCTAAAAGGGAATTCATCCTTGCAATAAGGACTGTTATATAATATTGAATCCCAAAAATCTAAATGGCTCATGGATACAAATATGATTAATGCTATATAAAGAGCTGAGAAATCTTGGAGGCCTTTCAACACAATATAATGTTAACAGAAGCAAATCTAGGGGTCAGTCCAGTGGCTCAGCTGTACCCTCCCTTTGGTTCTGAAGCCAAAGTTTAAAACAAACAGTCTTGTATTGACAGCAATATTTCTATTCAGGCAGCAGTGACAGAAACAATTTACTTTATTGCTCACTATCTGATTCCTTCTAAATTATTCATTCCACAGGTGTTAACAAACCTCTCTTCTTTTTTAATGGTCTTAATGTTGCCCTAATAAAGCTAGTGTCTCTTCTGCAATTCTGCTATCTGAGCTGCTCCTGATGAAGTAGCTGCTATTTCACAGCCCTGCAGACTGTTTTCAAAAGCATTAACTCAGGTGTGGAAATATTAACTCAGGTGAACGTAAGGTCAGGTGTGGAAATAACTTCCAGTGAAGCAATGGATGCACTGTCAAGATGCTCAAGACGACATGATTTTATTTTATGAATTTGAAAAAGATATACATGTAATTCTAATTACTACAGGACTAAAGAAATAACATCTTTTGATTATTTTGCCTAGTTTCTTGTTTTCTAACATGTAATATATGATATAGCACTAGAATGCATATTCCATTCCCGTAAAGTTGTATTTGTTTTCTGCTTCAATCTTAAACTGAAAAATATAGGCCTAAGCCCCCACCATATTAGTAAAGCTTCTGGTTTCTTTTTACTTGGAGAAAAATGTGTTGTACTATATGCAATGATACACCACACCATCTGCCCCCTGTTTTCAAAATCATAGATGGGCCAATGAATGTTAACTAGATTTGCACAAACCATCTTGAGTGGCTTAGTTTACTTGGGAAACATGAATGAGGCAAAACCTATTCTCTAGTTCTATATAAAGGCCAATCTTCCAAGAACCTCCAAACCATAATGTCCCTTCAGATTTGAAGACTTCTTTGATATTTCCCCATGATTTACTCAGCACTCTGCAAGGCTCACCTGGTCTCCTGCTCATAATATTGATTCAGAAGGAAAAAACTGATCAAATTAAATCATTTTTGCTACATAATTTAAATGGTGTCAGCTGTGAAAGATTTTGGTGGGTAAGTCATTAGATGTTGGGTTTTTAACTTCAGTGGCCGCATCTACACAAGATGCTGTGGCACCGTAGCATCTGTTGGCAAAAACTGTGATGCTGCCACTACGATACCATAGCAATGCACTCCCTTGTTATAACACGTTGCTATGGCAATGTAGAGTCCAAAAATAATCATGCGCAGCCAGCACAGTGCAGTACAGGCTGTTACTGTGATGTCTTTTAGTACTTCCAAAAGGAAACACTAAATGACGGTGCAGGAACAAAGGCCCAGTATGGCCACATGTAAACACGCCCAGTTTTGCTTCTTCTAAATATCCACAGAAGAACCTTTGGGATGCAGTTTTTATGAAGAAAAAGAAAAAGAAAGCTAGAGCTCCTTGGATTATATCAGCTTCATTTCACATTGTCAACACAATAATATACATTTAGCCCTAAGAACAATATTTAGTATCACACACCGGCAGTTAAACCACCAAATACCTCTTGAATCAACAAGACTACATTTTTTCTCTCCCAAAGTGCAGAAACAGTATAATTTCTTAACATAATACCACTGTGAGTAAAAGAAAAGACTTTGATTTATCCTCACTACAAACCATATACAAGTTTCCCTCGCTTTATGTGGGTTCTGTATGTGCGAATTTGCCCTTATGCGATGACCCTTTTTATACCAAAAATCTGTTGTATGTGAGGTAAATTCACTCTTATGCGATTGGTGTGGTGGAAGCCTGCAGTCAGCTGCTTTGTGCAGTGCATTGTGGGAGTGATGTGCACCAGAATAGAGTCTCCTGTGTGGATCTGTGCTCCTTGCTTGTTGTCTGCGACACGTCTCTGTAGTTACTATCCCCATTATGGTGACATTCAAGACCACCCTGTGCTTCCATGTACTATCTGCTGTTGGTGAGTACCAAAATTGTCTTCTAAAAGTGGTAGAAATGGGTCTGGGGGTCAGTACAGTCAAGGTCTTGGAACATATCCCTATTTGTTACATTGTAAAGTGGTTCCCTTTATGTGAATTCAAGTTTTCCAGGAACGCATGTACAGCATAAAGCAAGGGAAAACCTGTACTGATATTTCTAGTCTATTATGATTCAGACACAATACTATAAGAAGATTAATAGGAAGGATAGAAATAACTTTGTTTAAAAGTAACTATGAATATCTTGACTTTTAAACGTGGGTGTTTTTGTGCAACAAAAATGGTCTAATCGTATAATTTCAACTTAATTTGAACTTTAAACAGATATTAATATTTTTTGTCTGAGAATACCCAGCACATTTCCAAATAATTTACAAACTATAAACTACATTAGCTAAAAGAGAAATTTTTGAGAAAATTATCCAAGAGCACATCTGCAACGGGCCAGCAGGGGACTTTATGCTTAGGGGCAATCAACATGGGTTCATTAGAGGCAGGCCTGTCAAACCAACCTGGTGGCCTTCTATGACCAGGTCACAAAAGCCTTGGATGCAGGTGTCACGGTGGACATAGTCTTTCTGGACTTTAGGAAGGCCTTTGACACTGTCTCTCACCCCATCCTCATTAAAAAATTAGGCGTCTGTGGTGTCAACGCCTACACAGTCAGATGGGTCGCAAAATTGGCTGGAGGGCCGCACCCAGAGAGTGGTGGTGGACAGGTCATTTTCAGCCTGGAGAGATGTGGGCAGTGAGGTTCCCCAGGGCTCGGTCCTCGGGCCTGCACTGTTCAATATCTTCATCGGCGATTTGGACGAGGGGGTGAAAAGCACGTTGTTCAAGTTCGCAGATGACACTAAGATGTGGGGAGAAGTGAGCATGCTAGAAGAGAGCGAAAGGCTACAACCAGATTGACAGGTTACAGAGGTGGGCAGAGGTGAGAATAGGATGGGTTTCAATACAGAAGAGTGCAAGATGCTGCACCTGGGGAGGAAGAACCAGCAGCATACCTACAGGCTGGGAAACTCCCTTCTCATCAGCACAGAGGCAGAAAAGGATCTTGGAATCACCAAGATGAACATGGGCCACCAATGTGGGGATGCGGTCAGGAAGGCTAACTGCACCTTGTCATGCATCCACAGATGCATCACGAGCAGGTCCAAGGTGCTCAGCCTCCACAAAAGAAGGCTGAGAGGGGATCTGATGGCTGCCTATAAACTTATTAGGGGAGGTCAATGGGGAATAGGGGAAGCGCTGTTTACTAAGGCACCCCAGGGAGTGACTAGGAACAATGAATGTAAACTAGTTGAGAGTGGATTTAGGTTAGATATTAGGAAGAAATTTTTCACAGTAAGGGTGGCCAGGATCTGGAATGGGCTTCAAAGAGAGGTGGTGCTATCACCTAGCTTGGAGGTCTTCAAGAGGAGGCTAGATAGTCACCTGGCTGGGGTCATCTGACCTCGGTCCTCTTTCCTGCCAGGGGCAGGGGTTGGACACGATGATCCATTGTGGTCCCTTCTGACTCTACAATCTATGAATCTATGAAACTTGCTAAGGGGGACCAGCAGGCAATGGGAGAGTCCCTGTTCCCCTGAGCACTACCAGGGGTAACAAGGAACAACGGCCATGAGTTGACAGATTAGATCCAGGCTAAATATCAGGATGCACTACTTCAATGTCAGGGCAGCTAGGAACTGGAACCGACTTCCAGGGGAAGTGATGCTTGCCCCTGCCCTGGGGGTCTTCAAAAGGAGGCTAGGCATCCACCTAGCTAGGGTCATTTGCCCCCAGCTTCCTTTCCTGCCCATGGCAGGGGGTCAGACTAGATGATCTGCTTAGGTTCCTTCCAACCCTACCAACTATGAAACCAACTATGAAAGTAAAAGAACTTATTTTTTCATTAATAGCTCATACACAGCATTGGACATGGACATTATAACTTATATAACTGAGAGGGAGAACAACCTGGTCAATATTATTCCCTGCTCTTTGATATATTTGCTTAGTTATAGTATTTGTTCTCAGAGATTACTGTTCAGAGGGTTTTACACCCTAGAGACTGGGAACAAACATAGTCAATTCTCATAAAATCAGTACTATGCATGTCACTCAGCAGGGTATTGTCAACTTCTACTTGGAAAGAATATAACATTAATTTAAAAATTACACATTACACTAGGTAATGCTATACACAGTACTCAGCAAAGCAAAATAAATGGATATGTGGGAGCAAATTATATGGAATGCAGTAACATGAATTGTATAAAAATATAAGGTTCGTGTAACAAATGAATGTGTTTAAATTGTTATAACCATGGTACCTTGCCTGGGTAGTCTTTTTTGTTTGTTTGTTTGTTTGTTTTGCTGTCTGCAACATCTGTATCTATTGAAGATTTCAGAAGGAAATATTTCTCTTACATTTTTACCTCTTAATGAAAAAAATTGATACAATTCACACATTTCCAGCATATTTCTATTAGTTGGAAATTATTTTTTTTCAAATATTCATCAGAAATGTTACTGAAACAATGCATTTGATTTTTCTTACCAATTCTCATTTTGACTTTTGCTAGTAAGTTGATATGTGGCAAGAACAAATTTTTCAGAGGTAGCACTGGACTTGTCAATATAGTATCCTCATGCTGCTGTTCCACTGATTCTCCAAGGGTGAACATCTATTAAAAGCATGTTCTATAAATCAAATTATTCACCAATAAAGCTAACCACACACATTCATTTTATGCACACCCCAAAAGTCCCCATTCTGTACATTGTAAGGCCAAGCCCTTACATGCCCTAGGAGCCCCACTGACTTCTTTAGTGCTCTTTCATAAGAAACACTGAAAGGCTTAATACTCCTGAACTGCTGGCTTAATTTTGACTGTTCTCTCCATAGATAAACAGGGACTTTTATGTCAGGTACTCAATGGCTGAGGGAAAAGCTGAAGAGCTCCTAATCATGCCTGGAAACCTTGGGCTCTGAAACCAGATAATGGCTATGGAGGCAAAATCCCACAAATGAGGAAGTCATCAAGAGACAGAACCCATTTGCTGCTCTGCTTCTGGAGATGGATCACTGATGCTTTTAAGTGATTTTTAAAAAGCTCTTAAAGCCAATGAGAGACCAAAGAGGAAAGCACAAAACTGCCATAAAGACAAAGTAAAGGGAACATACAGTTAACTGTAGGTCTACTGAGGTGTAACGAGTAGGAAAGCTAAAAGGAAGAAGTGATCCATGTCATTTTTGACACCCTTGGGGACATAAAAAATCTAAAAGTTTCAGCTTCTGCATGCCTGCAAGGAAGGAAGGAATTTCATCTGCAAATGCTTCATTTTCAATCCTATCCAAGAAAATGGCAGAAAACACTAAAGGACATGTCTGCTTCCAGATGACAAAGAAAACAAATAGTATACTGTAAACTTCTGTGCCAAGTTGTATGTCTTTAGATGATTTTGATTGTACTTATGCTGAAATTCTTATGTTGGACCATTATCTTTACAAAGTATGATCTTGCAAATACCTGTAGCTACTAAGTACTGCTATTTCATACAGATGTCCTGATTTAAGCAATCTCAAATTAAGAACCCAAATTGACATTTTCAAACCTGTCTACTTTAAGTTGGGCACCTAAATCTATCATTAGGTACCTAATGAGATGGCTCAGAAGCGTTTAAGACTAACATTTTGACTTCCATGCCCACCATGCAAGTTCAGCACTCTGAATACCAAACTTAACACTTCAGTCCAAGCACTTAGTCACTCCAGAATGCAAATGGGTATTAGAAAAAGCAGACTATTTCAGTCAATATCTTATCTTTGAGGACTCTGTTGGGCTAGGTACAGACATTCAAAAAGCCTGAGCCTGAATTGATTCAATCTTTGCAGGTTAGTTTAACTTGCAAAGCTTGAACCAATTTGGAAATGGATAGACAAGTCCCTTTCCATTCAAGAAATGCAGTTCATGCACCTGTTGATGATGCTGAGCTTTTCAATCTCCCTCTCCCTGTCTGCAAACCTGATAGGACTGCAAACCAGCAAGGGGGCTGATAAAACCACAGTGTTATCAGCCCATTAGCAAACCATTGTGTTACCAGCTAAACAGCAAAACACAAGCCTCTTGCATTAGTTCAAGCTCTTCTTAAACAGCTTTTTCCCAGGAAGCTGCTCTATTGATTAGCTCCAAAACACCCTAAGCATATACTGTTCTGTCTGCCTTTGTCCTGTCTGCCTGTCCCAGTGAAATTGGAGACACATACACAGATACCTCTCAGCATTAGCTAGCATACCACATGCCTAGGATCTGTGGGGCTGGGGTCCATGCTGTGGGAGAGGGGAAGGAGGGAGAGGGAAATCCCTGCTTGAGTAGCGAGCAGCAAGGGAAGCCAGGCAGACCTTATTATGCCTTCAGTCTCCCCTGGAGCTTAGGCTAGGGAGGAGAGGGGCAGGGTTAGCCTGTTCTTTGGAGGAGAGAGCACAGCCTAGCCCAGCCCAGTTGCAAAGCATATGGGTTGCTGGAGGACTCTGGTTTAACTTAAACCAGGAAGGGGTCTGGGACAGACGTTGCATACCCCGGTTTGACCCAAATCAGTTAAGTCTGAAACTACATTCAACTAGGTTTATCTTAAACCAGTTTCAGCCATTTTGAAACTGGTTTATGTGCACTGAACTTATGTTCTGTTACAGGTTTAAACCAGTTTCTAATCACTTAAACTGGTTTATGTGTAATGTCTGTCCCTAGCCTTGGAGATCAGTGAGAAAGGCCAATTCTATCTACTGTGTAATCTGAGAGAAGCTCAATAGATAGTTTAACAAGCATGCCCACTACTTATGAGCTGTTAAAATAGTTTTCATAATGTGACAAATGAAAAGAGCACAAAGGGTTTGCAAATGCTGTGAAACGAATGTAACTCATCAACATAGCACTCACCTGCTTAACAGTAAGTTTGTGTGCCAGAATTAACAAATTTAATGGTTCATTTGTGGAAGAGTGATACTCTCTGTCATCCTCTGTATGTACTGCCAGTATGTCAGCAAGCAGAATCATACTTCTCACAAGTGTTAAAGCAGCTTGAGGGGAAATCAATGTTTCCTTTTGGAGCAAACTGATTATGTCCTATTTGAACACATATAATGTAAACCAAGTTAACCAATGTTATAGTTCATTTATAAGGACTCTTAATAAAGAATACAAATGTATGCTTACAGTCACAGGATTTAAGAGGCATTAGATTATTTTAAGCTTATTCAGTTGCCAATCCTCCAAAACTAACCTTACACCCCTTCCCTCCCAGACCTCTCTGATCCCATTCATGATCCTTTGGCCACAAAGCTTCAAGAGTCACCTATACATCCCCAGTCTTCTTTCACTTCATAAATCCTCTTCATACCACATGAACCCTAAATTCCCAATCATCCTGGCAACTATTTCATTTGCACAAATGAAAAAAAGAGTTAATAAAACTGATTCTTTGTTTGTATTCAAACCTGCAAACGAGGCTTAATGTCTGCCACTGGACGTCTTTCATGCAGGTCAAGTATAACAGCTTGCATCATCATTTCAGCTTGCGTATCGATGTCACCGAAGGCCTCAGCCTCTATTATTACTTCATTTATCAGGCTTACACATTGACTCATGTCATTTGCTAAAAGAAGGAAGGAGATTAATAATAAAAATAAAATAAAAAACGATTTTACAGTACCATTTCCTTCCATTGTTAAAGGTCACTCTGAAAAATTCCTGTAGAAGTGGCATAAAGGGATTCCATGTTTATTGTTTCACAGTTTTTCTTTTAATCAAATTAGTTTAGTTTACAAGAAAAAACATTTTGACTTCAAACAGTATTGCAAGTGCACTCAACTGAGCTCTAGACTAGGAAGGTATCAATCCAAAGAATACAGATACTACAATTTAATGATATTCTCAATCATACCTGTGTAATACCATTATCATCTTCAAAATATGCTCTCAAAAGTATTACTTAGAGCAGAATTAGGCTCAGAAGCCCATGATGGCAACAATTATATTTAAATTAGAAATACCCCGTTTCAGAGTTGATGTTGGGCTTGTAAGACTATAAGTAAGAACAACATCTTTTTACCTGTAAACTGAGCAAATTCAATCTGGATCAATGTTACAAGCCCTTGACAATATTTGTATAACTATTTTTCAGGGTGGAAGCAGAGGTTAATATACACTTGTTAAATTCCTAATTTTAACTTGTACATGTATATATAAAGAAACATTAACAGTAATACACATCATAATAGCGTAACCAAAGAAATATTAACTAATAAGCTCATCTATAAAACATAGGAAATCTGTGCAATTAGCACATTAGCATCAAGTATTGTTATAGTTTCATAGTTGGTAGGGTCGAAAGGGACCTGAGCAGATCATCAAGTCTGACCCCCTGTCATGGGCAGGAAAGAATGCTGTGGTCAAATGACCCCGGCTAGGTAATCATCTAGCCTCCTTCTGAAGACCCCCAGGGTAAGAGCAAGCACCACTTCCCTTGGAAGTTGGTTCCAGATCCTAGCCGCCCTGACTGTGAAGTAGTGCATCCTGATGTCTAGCCTGAACATACTCTCAGTCAACTTGTGGCCATTATTCCTAGTTACTCCTGATAGTGCTCAGGGGAACAGGGACTCTCCTGTTCCCCGCTGGTCCCCCCTGGTAAATTTATAGATAGCCACCAGATCCCCTCTCAGCCTTCTTTTGTGACGGCTGAACAGGTTCAGGTCCTGTAGCCTCTCTTCATAGGACCTGCCCTCCTGCCCCCTGATAATGCGAGTGGCCCTCCTCTGGACCCTCTCGATGCTGTCCACATCCCTCCTGAAGTGTGGCACCCAGAACTGGGCACAGTACTCCAACTGCGGCCTGACCAATGTTGCATAGAGGGGGAGGATCACCCCCTTGGACCTGCTCGTGATGCATCTGTGGATGCATGACAAGGTGCAGTTAGCCTTACTGAATGCATACTCACATTGGTGGCCCATGTTCATCTTAGAATCAATAATGACACCAAGATCCTTTTCTGCCTTTGTGCTGACTAGAAGGGAGTTCCCCAGCCTATAAGTATGCTGCTGGTTCTTTCTCCCTAGGTGCGGTACCTTGCACTTGTTAGTATTGAATCCCATCCTATTCTCCCCTCCCTTCCATCGGGTGTATGCCTCCTTTTTAGCTTTCAGACATTCCTGAATGCCTTTGGTGAGCCATGGGGTCTTTTGAGCACTCTTGCCCCCACTGACTCACGTTGCGACTGTCACCTTTTGGGCTCAGAGGATCATCTCCTTAAGGAACAACACTCATCTTACCCCACCAACTCCCCTACCCTCCAGGACCTCAGTGCCCCTCCAACTAATCTCCTTAACTCACTGAAATTGCCCCTCCTGAAGTCCAGGGCTGCTGCCTTACAGCAGGCCTTTGACACCCTCTGCTGGATGGTGAATTCCAGTAGACAATGATTGCTATCACCCAGGTGGTCGAGAACCCGCAGTCCCCTCACCAGGTCATTGCCTGTGGCCAGGACCAGGTCCAGCAAGACATTTCCCCTGGTGGGACTGTGTACCTCCTGGTTTAGGTGGAAGTCCTGTATCTCAGCTAGGAACCTATATGAGAGGTCAGACCTGGCTGACTGCTCCTCCCAGCAGATGTCTGGGTAGTTTAGGTCACCCATGATGACCATGTCCCTTGACCTAACTGCCTCCGCATGCTTACCTGAGAATTCCCGGTCCAGCTCTTCCCCTGGCTGGGTGGTCGATAGCAGTTGGTGTGTGCTCTTGAAGAGCAGCTGGTGTGTGCTTTTGAAGAGCACACACCAGCTGCTGAAACTTGCTTAGCCTGACGAAGGGTTTTTGAACCTGAAAACTTGCTTAATAACTATTCCCCAACCATTTGGGTTGGTCTAATAAAAGATATCAAATTCACCCAAGGAACCTTGTCTGCCTATGTTTACGGATAATCAATTCCAAGTTTGAACACAAATATTTTTGTATTTGTATTGCAGTACTGCCCAAAGGTCCCAAATTGGTATCATTTTCCCAATCAAAATCTCTAAAAGCAAAGACAACAGTACCTTTCACATCACTAATGCCACGTATCTGTGCCATTACTGCAGTCACTAACGCCATGCGGCATTTCAACCACAGATGCGCATTCAGGTGCTCTCGTGCCATCGTGCCATCAGGAAGCTGAGTATCTTTACCATAATAATCCTAGTAGTTTCCAAAAAAGAAAATGTTAATGTATAAACTACTTTAATATAAACAATGCAGAACAGTTTGTATTTAAGCTGATATATTTGTTAATATGATAAATTAAAATAATACAAACATAATAAAAAAGCCAGCATAGTTATGAGCAGGGATCTGGGTTCTCCATTTCCCATGTAAAAACAGAGTAACCCATGGATTTTACCTTTAACAGGAGGCAAACGCAGATTTTTCCTTTTGCCATTTTGCAATGAGCTCCCTGCAGACTGGTAGAGTTCCAGCCTGCAGGGAGCCGGGAAGGAGCAGAAGGAGGGTGGTCAGGCAAGGGGCACCACATGTTTGGTCATGCACATGGCCCCAGGCAGACCAAGAGCAGCTCCCACAGGTAAGTGTGGGGGTGGGGGGAAGGGGGATTGAGGCCCCTGTAGGGAAGGGAGCAGGAGCTGGGCAGGGCTGGGGCTGCTGCCCAGCCAGGTGGTGCCGGGCCCAAGGCCGGAATGTGAGGCTGCAGGGCCCCAGCAGGGAGTGGGATGGGGCTGTGGTTGGCTCATCCAGGGGAGGAGGAGGGCCGGCTCCCTGCTGCTGTGTGCACTCCAGCGGGGGTAGGGGGACCTGTGCCCCCCAGATCTGTACACAGGGTAGGTGCAAACTATGAGCACGGGCTCCCACCCTACTTCCCTCCCACGTGGCCTCCGCAACTCAGCAGGCATGATCTGGCAGGGCATGGAAAAGTGGAGCTGCGCATGGATCTCTTTGCCACTACAAACTGTGTGCTGCCCTAGCAATGTGCCTCCTGCGCATGCCACTGTTTTGAGGAGCACAACCCCATGTCACTGCTCTCACTCCAGCCCCACGCGCAGAAGGTGCATTGCCACCGCAGTGTGGAGCTCACAGCAGTGAGCAGCTTCTCCATGCAGCTCCACTCTTTTCTGCTGCGCTGGGTCATGCCCACCAGGCTGTGGAGGCCCTGGGGTAGGGAAGCAGGGTGGCAGGGAACAGTGAAGCCGTATGGAGAAGCTGCTTGCCGCTGAGAGCTCTGCACAGCCCTGGCAACACACCTCCTGAGCGCGGGGCAGGAGTGGAGCTTGTAGCAGCAAACAGCATCTCGGTGCAGCTCCACTCTTCCCTGCTGTGCTGGGTCATGCCCACTTGGCTGCGGAGGCCCCAGGGGAAGGTAGCAGAGCGGAAGCCCATGCCTGAAGCCTGAGCCTGCCCACATACATTTCTGGGGGGGTGCAGGTTCCCTCTGCCCCCCAGGAGCATACGTGGTGGGGAGCCACCCCCTGACCAGAGACCACAACAGGGGACAGTTGGGATAGGGGGCTGCGGACCCAGGTCCACAGCCCTGGCAGCTGGGGGCCCCTTTCGGCAGGGCTGGGGGAGCAGGGCCTGTGGGTGGGGGGCAAGGGGCACCAGCAAGGCTGTGGGGGGGAGTGAGAGGCATGAGAAGGGCCAGG